ATATAGACATTATTTTAAACCGTGCTTCTTCTCCAGTTTTGAGAATTCTTACAAATTTTTACCTACTCACAACAACTGTGCCTTTTTTGTTCACTTATATATATTATACGAGATTTGAGACCAAGCCAGTTTCGCCGCCAAAATATCAATTCAGAGAATTTTATATATACATACGTACTACTTTATTCGATATTCATGCAAAACTAAATAATTTTTTTTAAATTCACAAGAAAAAATATCCCCTTAAAACAGTCGTTTTTAGAATCTTTGAGTATTTCAGGAATCGGAAACTTATGATTCCATGAAATATAAATTCTTTATATTAAATATATATTTGAAATTTATTACAGTGAATCTCTTAATTTAGTTTTTTCGTTATGTTACTCATACGCCTTGTTGAACACGTACGCGATTATATTGAAAGATACTCAACTGTTTTTCTTTATTAAACACTAAGAACGAATAACAGATTATTATTTTCTATTATTATATTAATTTCATTTGAAAAATTGTATGTTTAAATTTTTTTTCCAAACTTTTACACTGATAACTCAGGCAATCGTATATTAATAAATACTTACAGTATAAAATATTTTGGCTTTTCTTTTTCATTAAAAAGCAACTATCAAATTCAATGTATTCTTTTTGCGCTTAAAACGACAAAATATTTGATAATTAAATAAGATAAAATCTTAACTGAGATTTGTTATTACTGAACAACTTCATAAGACGATAAATCTCACAAAATGTAATATTTCCGAAGCTTGTGTTATACTTATTTCTGAAATAGTTCCATAGAAGCTTTTGCCTTCTTTTAATTTTTTTAACTTTACTTCTAAACATCCTTGGAGAATAGCTATAGCAAATATCTTTATCTGTATTTAGTTTCTATTGGTATCCATAAAATATGTCATATACAAAATTTCAATAGCTCTCAATGTGCTAATATATCTACTATATGATAAGGCCAAGGTAGCCATGTCGTATGAGTAACATTTCATTAAATGGCAACTAGTAAATGCAAAAAGCATAAATATGCAGTTATACTAATGCCTTGCAAACACCATTTATAGTAATATAAATTAACTGTGAAAACTTTGGAGTAATAATTAAACCTAAACTCCGTTATATAACAAGCCAACTCATTAGTTATTTATGCCTATGCGCCAACTTTTGAGCATTTTTCAAATTTTATTTGACAAGCAAACATATAATTACCCAACAAAAACGAAGTAATTATAAAAATAATTTTATATTTGAGGTATCTACGTCTGCAGCAGAGCTCAGCAAAAACCATTATGTATCCCTGTCAAATTAGTGTACTCTCTCAGGTATAACACGCCCGCTTTAGCGCTTGTAATGAGCTGAAAACTTAATGACTGCTCTACATTTAGTAGTTTTTATTACTTAATTACAAGGTATATATCAAAAATGACTGCTGGAAAAACGTCAACCCATTATTAAGGTAACCAAATTGTCAACCCAAAAAGGCTTCAGCTCGTCTTTCACTTCACACAATAACATGGGGAATTAGGCAAATTTTAAGCAGCGCAATAAATCAGTAATATTAATTGGCGCATTTTGTTGGTAGAGGGAGGTAGTGGTTGGTGTTGGTTGGCGATCACTGTGCCGCGCCCTGCCTGAATCCTCACAAGTCCTGTTTCGTTCTGGTCTAATTTACTCCGTACAACATTACACCATTTTTTATAAGCTGACTTATACATGAATGGAAAAAATAATGCGCATTGTGGATATTATAAAAATTGAACTACACTAATTGCAACTATTTTTTATTATTTTTTCTTGTTTCTATTCTTATTCGCTTGCGGTTAAAAAATATGAAACACCTTTCAATCCACATTCAACATTATCAGCGCTTTTCTCCCTCATTTAATTGAGTGCTTAGGGAGCGCTTTACCCAGTAATTGCATTTATACATTTTTATTTAGCTTTTTTGTTGTTGTTTCATTTTACTCTCTTTGTTCATTTTTACTCATCTTTTGTATATCATCGCTGCGCTTTCATTTCATATTATAAAAAATTACACTTCATTTGCTAAAAGCGCATTTATTCAGCCAGCTTTGTAGGCTTGTAACTTACCATAATTTAAAACATACAAACATATATATTTTCATGCATTCATATATACAGTAGGGTGTCCGTTAATTCTCAAATTGACTTTTTTTGTTAGAAAAAAGGTATCCAATGTAAATAAACTCTTTGAATTAGGATATTATAATACAAAATTTTCCACTTCACAAAATGATATCAAAATGATATTTTCTATAAAAACACTCGTTCAAAAGTTATACTCAGTTAAAGTTATAAATCAAATGGCCTAAGCATTCTAACAAGTGAGCATTTGAGCATTCTTATAAATGCTGTGTTGCTCATACGACATGGCACACTATGAACTCTCAGTACATTTGATGCAGATTTAAGGGGTTACATGGATTTCGTTGAGCAAAAAACGCCCTATTTTCAATAAGTTTTTTTCATATAAAAAATTAAATATTTTATTCAACTTTTTTATTGTTCAGAAGATACATACAAGTATTTGATTAAGATCATTACGACGTCATTTCCGATTGTCCCTCGGAAAAAAGGTGCTTCCGCGTTGACAGCAGAATTTCTGACAGGATCATCAAAATTAAAAAGAAAAACATATGTCTTTGAACTAAGACCATTAACTAGGTATTGGACATTGCTACCTAACCTCGAGCGCGCAAGTTTTCAAAGCTATACCTCCAAAACTATTACTGGGATCAACTTGAAAATTTAGGACAATATCCCATGTAACCCCTTAAACTGATTTGTTTTGAAGATACAAAAAAAAAATATTGCAAAATCAAAAAATCCCATGTTAAGTATAATATGTATATGGGTAGAGGTCAAATGATTTGGTAGTGGTGTAAATTGAATATAAAGAGCGTGTATACGTAAGATAATTTTTTTAAGGACAAAAGCTGAAAGTTTGGGTGGCATTTGCAAAAAGAAACAATGAACTTGGGAATAAACGAACACCCTAATATACAGTTATATCCATTCATGCACTTCACAGATACCCAAGTATAATTTTTAATATTTTTATTTTGTTTGCGAACATTTCTCCATCATTAGCACGCTGACAAACAGGTGGCAACACAAATAACCAAACACACACAAAAACATACAGACCATTACAAATATATATTTTATTTTATGATATTTCGCTGAATGGCAGTATTTGTTGCAAGCGCTCTTGCAGTTCCCCTGGCAATTTAACAGCTCGGCCAAGCTTAATCTGCTCTAAGTAACTCTATACAAGTCTGTGTGTGTATGTGCGTGCACAAATACATATGTACCGCATCACTTTTTATAAATATTATGCTTAATAAACTAAGTCAAGCCTTTATTGGTACATTGCTTTATTGGCTACTTATGAAATTGCACGAGCCACTCAACGCCTCTCGGTTGCAATAAATATTTGCAATATTCGCATTTTGATGCTGCATTTATGTGATTATTGCGCAAGCCATTTGTGCGCCACATTAACCCCGCGCATGAGCAATTAATTAAAACAAGTATATAAATCGATTTGAGTGCAAAAACAAACACAATTACTCACATAAAGATAAAAGAAATAAAATCACAGACACAGCAAGAGCTATCAATCACTTTATATACTCGCACAATAAAATCATATAATATAATATGAGTATGTAACCATGAGTAAAGGTTGTTCACATGACGAGTGTAATGAGTGCTGTCTGTTGGCTGTTGTATTCGAGGGCGATACTCCAACATTTGTAGGCCAAATTTCTGAATTGATCGAGGTGTGGCCCAGAGAGGACGGTTCGATCTTAAATAGGAAAGTGGTACAGTAATTATTTAGCCAACAAATGAAAATCGAAAATGTTTGAAAAATGACGATTTATTTCTCAACATAGTCTGCATTATCCACCAAAAGTCTTTAACCGGTCTATATAAAATGTTTTCTGGAGATCATCAAAGTAAGCTAAGTCGGCGACTACCTCTTTATTCGTTTCAAATTTCTTTCTGGCGTGTGACTTTTTCATGTTTAGAAACAATAAAAGTACTTCATAACCGATGACGATGGTGAAAGTGGAAAATAATCATTTTTTCTTCGCCACATAGGTCTTTTTTTTTAATTCAGCGCCTTATCGACCCAGTTTTAACATATCTTTCATCTGGTAGTCGATGTAGATCACACCTTGTTAATCGCAGAAAGCAATGAGCATCCGGTCTCTAGCCTAAAGGGCATTTTTCGGATAACATTCGCTGGGTTAAGTCCGCTGTGCTTTGGTTTTTGTCGATAGTAACAAAACGGCGCAGAAACTTTTTCATCACACACTGCTGAGTCTTACGGTGATGAGTTTGTTTTTTTGCAGTCGGCAGCCGAAAGACTCTTGAAATGTTATTCTCCATGGTAGCCATTTTTCGGGCACCTGAACTCAACAGAACCTGACGTGTGACCACATTGAAACTCGACAACTTTATAGAAAGAGAAGACGTCACCGTATATAATATTCAAGTATCCTTTGATTTCACTGCGCGATTTCTTTTTTACAAGCAAAAATCAAATCACCGACTGGTGTTGTTTTTTCTTTTTTCTAAAATCCGCAGACAGGCCTCCTTTGATCAAAACAAAGCTACGAATCTGTCTTAGCTGAAAGTTTGACAGTAGTCTTTTACAAAAATGTATTATAAGATAGTGGGAGTGACTCAAAATTTAAATTTTTATCCAAATCACACAGAAAACATAAACTTAATTCCTGCTGATTAAATACATATCAAGGCAGATTCTGTTTTCTTTATAGATAATGCCTCAACTGATTGCTATTTCCACCGTTGATAAAAAGCATTCAATTTATTTTAATTAAACTTAGATTTAACAATATTTTAGTAATCAATAATTTTTTTTTTACATTACATTTATCGTATTTGTAATGATTTTTAACACTTTCCCTTCTTCCGCCATTTTTTTTTTCTTCTAGCAGGAAATGTTTCCATGCCGCCTACTACTACTTGGACGACCCACCACACCATCCCAACTTGCCGCAAGTCGACTGGGAGGCACCCGTCGAGGTGGCTGGTGAGATACGTGCCGCTGTGCCGGTCAATGAATTCGCCAAGCACGTGGCCTCGCTGCATGCCGACGGTGATATTGGCTTTAGTCGCGAATACGAGGCGATCCAAAATGAATCGATTGATGATTTACCCTGCGAACATTCCCAGCATCCAGAGAATAAGCGCAAGAATCGCTATCTCAATATAACAGCCTGTAAGTAGCACGATTTTACTGTTATTACTTAAGTAAATATAACTATATACTTACTTCTGTCACACAGACGATCACAGCCGCGTCCACCTGCATCCCACGCCCGGACAAAAGAAGAATCTTGACTACATTAATGCCAATTTCATTGATGGCTATCAGAAATCGCGCGCCTTTATCGGCACGCAGGGTCCACTGCCAGACACGTTCGACTGCTTCTGGCGCATGATTTGGGAGCAGCGTGTGTCCATAATTGTGATGATTACCAATTTGGTGGAGCGCGGGCGTCGGAAATGTGACATGTATTGGCCGAAGGATGGCATCGAGACCTATGGTGTTATACAGGTGAAAATGGTCGATGAGGAGGTTATGTCCACCTACACAGTGCGTACGCTACAAATCAAGCACTTGAAGGTAAAACAGGTATGCCCCCCATGCTTGAAAGCCCATCCTCTCAAAACATATTTTAATATATTCTATAGTTAAAGAAAAAGAAGCAATGCAATGCAGAGAAAATCGTCTATCAGTATCACTACACAAATTGGCCCGATCACGGCACACCCGATCATCCACTGCCAGTGTTGGACTTTGTGAAGAAATCCTCAGCTGCGAATCCCGAGGATGCGGGTCCCATTGTAGTGCACTGCAGGTAAGTACCCGTTTGAAGAAGACAAGTCCAAATTCACTCACATATCTATTATTTATTTTTCATGCGCGCTCGTAGTGCCGGTGTTGGTCGTACTGGCACCTACATCGTCTTGGACGCCATGCTTAAGCAAATACAACAGAAATTAGTTGTAAACGTATTCGGTTTCTTACGACATATACGCATACAGCGTAATTTCCTCGTACAAACCGAGGAACAATATATATTTATACACGATGCGCTTGTCGAGGCGATTGCCTCGGGCGAAACGAATTTGCGTACAGAGCAAGTCGAAGAACTGAAGAACTGCACACCCTATCTGGAACAGCAGTACAAAAATATTATACAATTCCAAACGAAAGACATACACATTGCATCTGCGATGAAGCAGGTGAATTCGGTGAAAAATCGTGGTGCCATATTCCCCATTGAAAGTAGTCGTGTCCATCTAACGCCCAAACCGGGCGAGGAGGGTAGCGATTATATAAATGCGTCGTGGCTGCACGGCTTTCGGCGTTTACGTGACTTCATCGTCACACAACATCCGATGTCACATACTATGAAAGATTTCTGGCAAATGGTGTGGGACCACAATGCCCAGACCATTGTACTGCTGTCATCACTGGACGAAATTGTAAGTTGATAGTCGGACATTTTTTTTCTTCTATAAACTCTTTTACTCACGTCTATTTGCTTCGCAGAATTTCGCACAATTTTGGCCAGATGACACGCAACCCATCGAAAGTGATTACTATCGCGTCAAATTTCTACGTAAGACGAACAAAAGCGATTATGTTAGTCGTGATTTTGTCATACAATCGATACAAGATGATTACGAGCTAAATGTGAAAATGCTGCACTGTCCCAGTTGGCCGGAGATGTCGAATCCGAAGAGTATTTACGATTTCATTGTTGATGTACACGAACGTTGCGCCGATTATCGCAATGGACCAATTGTCGTTGTGGATAGGTAAGATTTTCATAAGCACTGTACATATATATATATATAGTATATATTGCCTTAAATGTACTTAAGTGTAGTTTGGCTGCACTGAGCTTTCCATTGTAATATGGACGCTATAGCTGATTTAACCACCAAACCCTAAGGCTCATAGTTTATGCAGAACTCTGCTCAATCACTTACGGTATCTAATTGTCTGGAAAACTTTAGCACAGTAAGAAAATGTATACGAAATTTTGAGCTAAGGCATTAACCATAGAACACTTATGCTACGAGGAAGTTCCACATATTTTTAAACGATAACGACTATTAAATCTAAATGTTTGTTAGAAGAATGTTTACGGAATCAATGCAGAGGTTGAGCATTTGAATTTTTGAGGACAGAGTAATTTTTAAATCAGAATCAAACAACTTAGAAGAGAATGTCTCAACCTATAGTAGTTGCTGTAAATTTTGACAAAATGAAGACAGTGCTGTATTAGATAAGCTAATGAGAGTATCAGTTGTTCTCGATACGCTAAATCTTGCAGTGTAGCGAATCGAACAAACTGGTATAAATCACATAGACTGGCATAATTAAATAAAGATAGCAAAACCAAGGTTTAATCCACTATAATGGGATAAGGAAATAGCCGCTTGCCTAGAACAGAACTGGATAAATCCCTCGATACTTTCAAATATAGTTTTTTCTTAACATTAGACCAGAGATGGCGACAGACGATTTGGTACTGAAATTGACATTACTTAAACTGCGTAACTAGATTCGTACTACGTATTTTAGGGAAATTAATATGCCTTAAGAAGCAGAAATTATAAGGAATGCTTTAGGTTAATAAATAATTATATTAAAATAAATTAACTAATAGTGAGAAAAAAATTTCATAATTTTGCTAAATATTTTGTATAGATATTATTTTATAAGTGTCATTATTTAATAAATATTATGAGCATTCAACTAAACTACCTCAATTTCTCACTTTTTTCCGATTGCGATCAATTCAACTGAACTTTGGCAAACGTCGCACACCAAACTCACCACGAAATCCATTAAATCCACCACAAATAGATATGGTGGCGCACAGGCGTGCACCTTCTGCGCCATCTCGTCCCTGGCGATGGAAATGGAATACTGCAGCACGGCGAGCATCTACCAGTACGCCAAACTGTATCACAACAAACGGCCGGGCGTTTGGACCTCCAGCGAAGATATACGCCTCATCTACAATATACTCTCGTTTTTGCCGCGCAATCTGCAACTGCTTGAACGTACAGCGTTGCGCACGGAATTCGAGGATGTGACAACGGCCACACCGGATCTCTACAGTAAAATCTGTAGCAATGGTAATATAAATGCCCAGCAAAACTGTAATAATTTGGTCTATCATAATCATAGTAGTAGCGTAAATCATAGTAATAGTATTAGTAATATAAATGTGCTAAATGCAAATGCAAATGCTTGTAATAATACCAACAACACCACCACAAACAATCTGAATACAAATTATACAACAAACAATACAACAACAACAACAACGACTGCTACAACTACAACTCCAACTACGGTTGATACTAGTGGTGGCAACATAACACCACCAACAACGTTGACGCCCAATACGAGCGAAAATAATTTACAATATCAACAACACCACCAACAATCATCACAGCAACAACCTCATTATGCATCACAACACATGCAGTCGCTCAATTCAGTACAGTCATCAACAACAACAGCAACCAACACACCAGCACTTACAAACTCACAGACACCAACACCAACACCACAACCATCATCATCATCAACATCATCATCAGTCACTACACCAACAATATCAACATCACCAGCAGCACCACTAGCATTAATAACGGCAAACCATAATAGTACAGCTATGTTTGTAACAACACCCGATTTGACTAATATGACGACCAACAGCAACAGCATCAACAACACTAACAATTGTAATGCTAATCTAATTGGTAATGCTAATTATAATGAAAATTTTGCTAATACTAATACTACTACTAATGCCTACACTACTGCAACCAACACCACTAACCAACATAATACAATACCATATTGTGTATCCCCCAATACGAATATCAACACCAACACCAACACCACTACCAATATCAATACCAATACCGATTCCGTTTCCACTAATCATTATACAAAAACACCCACTTCCATTGCTGCTATTTCCACTAATGGTGAACGGTTTTCTCTTGTAAATAATTTGGAACAACAACAACACCACCACCACCATGAACAACAACAACCACATCAATCTGAACCAACTCATCTGCACCATCACCATAACCAACAACAACCAACATCACAACTAACTTCGTTAACTGACGCTGTCGCTGAACTGCAATTGTATGGCGCGCATGGTAATCCAAACCTTACAACAACTGATCGCTTCGATTGTTACGCAACAACAATGCCACTGCCGCCACCGCCACCTGCTTTCGACAACGATACGGATTTGGCTTTCCAACAACAACAACAACAAATCCATCAACAAAAACAACAACACCACCAACTGGACCCGCTAAATTCGCTCGCTGACGCAAATGCTTCAACAATGACTACACCTTGCTCGGATGACATAATTGATGGTCTAACACCATTATTACCCCCGCCACCGCCACAATATCCAAACGCCTATGCAAATAACACTTGCAACATGGCTAATGTTAACTCCACCACACCGTTAACAAAATCCGCATCCAACACTTCTGTATCTTCTACTACCGCAACAATTAATTACAATGGTAATGGTTACGGTAATGGTAATGGGAATAATAATCAAACCATTTTGCATGGTAATGGTAACGGTTTATTAAATGCCACTAATACTAATACGAAACAAATGACAACTCTAACAACAACTAAAGCAGCGACTGTTACAGATGCTCAAAGTTTAGATATTGTAGGTTAGAATTACAAAAAAAAATAAAAATAAAAATAATATATAAATATAAATATATATGTATAAATATATTAAATTAAACGTACATATAAATATGAGTAGGTAGTAGCTATTAAGGAAAAAGTGAAATTTATAAATAGACTAACAAATTATTTTTATGCAAATTACAATTAAAAAAAAATTAAAACAAAACCAACAATGAGAATGAAAAAAGCAAATGCTCGCGAACCCTCCTAAGCATGATTGTAAATTTTTTCAATGAAAACGGCAGCCAACTGCTGACTGAATATGGTAACAGTATATAGCGTTGTGCTAAAAATGAGCAGCACTATTGCCTAAGTGAGAAGTAAACTTATACTAAATATTTATTTTAAATAATATTTTTAAGTAATTACTGTTTATATTTAAGCAGTTGTGTATGCTAGAAATTTTCTAAAAGTATTTTAAAGCTATATTTATTACAATTAATTGTCTTACTGTCATATATTTATGTATAAAATAAATAAATTTAGTTTCAGTAATTTATTACGTACGAATTAGGGTTGTCCTACAAGTTTGTCGCAAACTTTTATATAATCTTCGTCATATAAATGGTTAGAAAAAAAAAACACAGAATAACTAAACCCACTTTATAAACGTATTTAGAATTGTGTTATCCACAGCAGTCAATAACTGCAAATTAAATATATTGTTTAAATTTTATATTATATAAGCAAAGCATGAGTTAAAATTAAGCCTACCATTGTATAGTCATAATTCACAAAAAAAAACACAAGCAAAAACAAAATAAAATCCATCTCATATGTTAAATAAATAATTAAACAAAAAATATATATGCAAAGTAAAGAAAGAAATATCAAACAAATTTAAATGCATGCACTTTATTGATTTCTGCGTGTTAAGTACTCGTAAGTAACCACCAAATGCATACACATACATATGTTGTATTTTATATGAATGTGTTTCTAAATAAATTTCTTCTAAATACTTCACTTACCGCTTTCGTGAACTTTTATGAGATTATGTGTAATGAAAAGTCAACTATCGCTGCGACTTGTTGCACAAAAACAATGCATTATGTGTAATAAATAGTCAACTATTGCTGGTATGTGGAAAATGTTGTTTAAAGTCATCGCAAAAAAAAAAACTTGATAAATGTTGCTAGCAACATGTTGCACAAAATATTTCCATTATGTGTAATAAATAGGCAAATATTGCTGGCATGTGAAAGATTTGGTTCGAAGAAACCGTAAACAAATATGAGTAAACAATGCTAGCAACATGTTGCAATAAAAAATTTTATTACGTGCAATAAATAGTCAACTATTGCTGGTATGTGGAAAATGTTGTTTAAAGTCATCGCAAAAAACTTGATAAATGTTGCACAAAATAATGTCATGATATGAAATAAAATAGTCAAATATTATGGGCATGTGAAAGATTTTTTCATGTTGCACAAAATATTTCCATTATGTGTAATAAATTGGCAAATATTGGCATATGGAAGACTTTATTCGAAAAAAACGCCAAGAAATATTTATAAATGTTGCTAACAACATGTTGCACAAAAAATATATAGCAACATCGTCTAATATGTAATTTATTTACAGTTTTTTGTTACGGCGACATCGTTACTCAAGTTACTTATTAACTGCAACATGTTGCAGTGTGTTGTTGTCAACATTTACAAATAATATTTATTGGAAGACCACCATTGCGATAGTTTTTTACTGTTGTTTGAAATATTTTTAATTTTTTATAGAATTATTATCATCAATATCGCTAAAAAATTGTAGTAGAAAATGTTGCACAACATTGTTTATAACATATTTTAGCAAAAAAAAAAACATCTTGCTCATCTCTGCATATTGCTGCAGAAAAATATAGCGCAATACTTTTACGATTTTCTTCACAGATTGACACGGAAAAATTGGGACAACAAAAATATTTTAATGAATTGTTGCCAGCAAAAAAAAAAATATTTTAGTGAATTGTTTCACAAGAATGTTGCTAGCATTTCAATAATGAATCGCAATTCTGATTTTATTCGCAGCCAAATATTTCAACCGCCGACTAGGGCTTTCAGTAGTTTTTGTTTTCCGTTTTAGGTGAAGCAATCTTTATGATATATTACAGTATGTAAATATGTACAGCCGAAAGCTAAAAACTTAAAGAAATGAAATAAAAGGTATAACCTCAAAGTATGAAGCTAAGGCACAAATGAAACAAAATTTTATTATCGATACTAAACTTTAGAAGAACTTTTCTCTTGCTATTCATTCACTATTATGTCACAAAATCAGAATTTAAAATATAACAATATTTCACGAAATTGATTAAAATCTACTTAAGCTGTTATTTATGTCATGCCAATGCTAAGTAATAAATTTATATTTTCCAAAGGCTTCAATAAATAAAGAATAACTGATTTCGATTTCGATTAATTTATATTTTATGAGAAAAACCCTTTTACTTATTTTATTTTATGTTTTTTTTTTTGTTTGTTTTAGTACTTTTATTAATATCTTTATTATAATTTTTTTTGTTATGAAAAAAAGTTATGAATATTGAACAATTTTATTAAAATATTAAATAATAATAATTTTTAATTATTCATAATATTAATTATAATATAATAATTATTCTTGTCAGGAGTTCGTGTAAGTATTCTAGGCGCCTCAGAACCTTTTTACTTTTTGAGCAAACATGATGCCAAAAAATAATTTTTTAGTTTGTTGAGAAATCCGTGAAAAAATATTTTACATATTATATTATACAAGAATTGAATTTAAAAAAATTATTAAAATTTTTTCTTTGTTTCTATATCTAAATAAAATTAAAATTTTTAATAAAGTGGTTTTTATCTTTTTTTTTTTGTGATGAAAATATTATTATTAATAAAAAAAGTAAAAAAAATTAACAACACATGCCAGCAATTAAAATTTATTACAACAAAAAATATTTTCACTATTGATACTTTTTGCACTAGAATCTATGCATAAAGAAGCGTAAATATTTTCTACTAAACAAAAATAAAAAAACTATGTTGCATAACAAAATTAGATGTCATACTACTGAGTGTCCTTGTCTTGTTTCTCATTTGTGTATATTCGTCCGTCCTCATACTTTTCCTTTCAGCACAAACGCATATTTACAAACAAATAAATAAAAAAAATTCACAAATTAGTGTTTCTGAATGCACAAAAAAGTCACGCAAAACTAGCAAATACTAAAAGAAAAAATTAGAGGAAAAGTAAAACTAGATGATAAAAGCTGTATACAGACAGATATTTAGTATAAGTAAATTATTTATAATGAGAGCGAAGACGGAATATGTGTACAATTGTAAATTTGACCACTGTAAACTAGAAACTACTAAGCAAATATATATAAATGTATATAAGCAGACATACATATATATAATATATACATACATATATATGTTAACATACACAAATACACAACTGAAGAAGTTTACTATTTAAATAATAAATATGATTGTAATTAATGTGTATGTATGTATGTCAGTGTAGTGCGCAAAATGTAGTGAATAATGAAACGTTGACATATGGAATAATGAGCGATTGCATTTTTGTAGTTTTGCACAAAAGAAATATAAACAAACACCGTAAATACAATATTTAAAAAAAAAATTAAATTAAATATTTAAATAGTAATTGCACAAGAGAAAATATGAATTCAAATAAATTTATTCATCTCGTGGTAAGCGGGCAATCACGCGTAAGTGCTAATTGTAGTTGCACCTATACATACATACATAACTGAATACCATTAATGCAAATCAGCACTGTAAATACATACATACATACTATAGCTATAGCCGACACTTAGATATATACGTAGATATTTGCGCGTAAATACCATAACGTAACGAAACGAAACGAGTTGTGTGAATTCAATTCCAATTAACGAATTTGTAAAAAGTTAAAAAATTACACTTAAAAAATTTAATGCAATTAACCAGAGTAATTGTGTGTGTATTGTAAAGTGGAGTATAAAAAGAAAAATAAAAAGTTAGACTAAGTGCAAAACAACTGAAAATGTGTAAGCTAAAATTATAGTTGGCAAGTCAAAAGCTTCAAGATACACAGACACACATATACCGTACATGCTATATATGGTCAGCACTTGTATGTATGTAATGAAATTTGCGAATTTTAACAAGCAGGCGTTAAAAATCTAAGCTAGTTACAGCTCATTTTCGCTTGAGAAAACCATATAACACTGCAGAGTATTATTAACAGTTAATTTATTTAATTTACAAATTTTAATTAAAAACAAAAATGTATTTTGTAGAAAAAAGCGCGAAATATTAAAATAGATTTTAATTTTAAAAGTGAAAATATATAAATTAAATGAAAAAAAAAATCGAATTAATCAAATTATACAATTTTTTTTTAACTAGCAGCGCTTAAACACACACAACCATATAAATGTATAGAATATAGTAAATTGTAGATGACAGTAACAGCAAATTGGATTTTTGATCATATATTTTTATTACAATTGCTTATATATTTATTACAATATTCCCGCAATATGTTCAAATAGCTTAAAGGCTTATATACACCTGCAAGCCAGAAAAAACACGTTTTTTCGTGCATTTTTTTAAAGACGCATTTTATTTAATAAATATTTAAAAATCATGTGCATTTACAGAATTTAATGTATTTTACTAATCGGTGATACATTTTGAAAAAATTTGGATGCACGATGAGCAAAATATTTCTGTTTTATCTCAAATCACAAAATTAAAAAAAAAAATATTATTATTACAATAGATGAGTAATGCTGATAGAAGCACCAGTCAAAATTTTGATTTTTTATGCCAAAATGCGGGCATAATATATCTAAAAAAGGTCGTGTGAAATTTTCAAGTTGATCAGTTTATCCGTTTCGGAAATAAGTTTCTTACCGACTCTGAAAACAGCGCTTCGAGTAAAAAGCGTTTAGAGTTTTGAAAGCCGAATAACTACCTTTAAAAGTGCATACAAACACGCTCATCTCTACAAAACTACTTGTCAAATGAATTTTCGAATTTTCGGAGAATAATTTCATTTATAGTATGTACATTCGAAATATAAGCAAGAAAAGTCGATTTTTTCAAACTCACAAGTGGATATAACACCTTAAAGCGTTGTGTTCAAACAATCACGCGAAAGTGAGTTAGAATGAATTATAGAATCTAACCGATTTTAATATTAAAAATTTAACCATATATGACCCCTCAAATTGCAAAACCTCGACAGTTGCTAACTACTCTTTTTCTTTGACATCCAAATTGCTCTTTATATATATTTCTAATCTAACAATGTGAAAATCCACTATCTAATTTTTCTATGTGTTCGAAAAGTTATACTTTTTGGAATCGTTCGACGCTATTTTTGTAGCACCTCGTCTAGTTGTGAGAAACCGGAAACATAAATTTTAGAAAACACAAACCGTTTCTTTTGAAATCGAAAATAGTTCAACAGAAAGCTCTTACTGCTACTGTTGTCAACAATTTGCTCCTAATTGTATGCGAGATTTCTTAAAACCTTAATATTTACAAATATATCAACTTTAAGCAGCTATTGAAACCAAAATCGATATATTCGGTATATAGTCTCTGACAGATTTTTGTTTAATTTGAATTTTGAACCAAATATTTTACTTTATAAAAGCTCAATTTGATATTTTTACAACAACAACAACAATAAACTTTATTATACATACATTACAGTGCAATAATTAGTATTTTGGTTTCATTTATTACAATAATTACATACAGATGTCCATAAGTGTTAAGTGTTCACAAATGAAATACAAAAAAAACAAAAAACATATATTTTATTTAGCAGATAATACAAATAAATTTCATATGTATGTGGATGAGATTACTAACAAAAGATATTCAACATAATTAAAAAATTGAGAAAAATGTGATCTACATGTCGATGTAAAATACATACATACATATACATGCATGTGTAGGCTAAGCGATTTAGTGGCATAAAACATATTCAAAATACAACAACAACCACAACTGCGACTGTCACAATTTCTTTCAGTTTCAATTAAAATGTTTCTTGTGTGCACACTAAGACTTGTAAAATATTGAAAATAAAATCATTAAAAATCTGCACAAACACATTTGCAATGCAATGCCTATTTTTCTGTACTGACTGGCGAAACAAAGCAACGCTTTTAAAACTGTTGCAACTGTTTAGCTACAAACTATGTATAACCATATACATACATACAACACATGCATATGTATTTATGTATTGATGTCAAATAGTTTGTAATTTTTGCGAAAATGCATAACTTAATTCATACATACATACATATATACATAACTAAACAAAATGCAGGCGAAATAATTATAAAGAGATTAAAAGGGAACAGAATTGAAATATGAAATTATTTAGCTGCTAAGCATAACGACATAAGAATTATAAAAATATACTTATATACATTATATATATACATAAGTATATGTATATTATATTAATGAAAACAGAAAATGAATTGAAATGAATAAGAATATGAAATAAACTAAAAATAATAAATCAGAAAAATGTCGTGATTTTTATTAAAAAAAAAAACAATAAAAAACGTTCACTTCTGCTGCAGCGAAGCTATAATGCAGGAGCATTTCTTTTAGCATAAAATTGATTAAAAATCTTTATCTTAATTTTGATTGGTCAGTTTGTATAGCAGCTATATGCTATGGTGATACGATCCGAACATTATGTTCGGCAATTGTAACGTTGCCTTGGACAATAATCTGTGTCAAATTTTGTGAAGTTAACCTGTAAAAAAGTTTTTCATACATTTCTCGACTTTTAACGTTTACGTTGTATGTATGACAGCTGTATGCGATAGTGGTCCGATCTAAACAATTTGTTTGGAGATTGTTCCGTTGTGTTGGTAAATAATCCATGCCAAGTTTCGTGAAGATATCTTCTCAAATAAAACATTTTTCCATACAAGACAAACATTCAAAATAAAATAATTTATTTTTTATTTTTAAAGTCTTGAAAAATTTCATATATTCAGTTCTTCACACTTAAATATAAAAATTAATTACTACATTTGCTAATAATGCAATTTACTTAGTTTAGTTACAAAAGAAAATTATATGATTAAAGTTAGCAGCGAAATTAAGTAACTAATATTGATAAATAACGTGCTATAAACAATGAATAACTATTATTTTAGTATTTTTCACAGAGTTAAATATGCTATATACATATATACAAGTATGAGTATCACGAGACTTATTAGCTTGCTATGCTGAGATATTTATATAATACTTTTGCTATATAACTACGTTCATTTTCCCACAATCGCTCTTTGCATTTCCTCTGGATCCTGTACACCCACTGTGAATTCCAGCTTCAGTATGCCATGGTGACTCTTTGGAAAGGCACTGGGTAGCCACTCAAGTTTAAAACTATTTTTATATTCCTGAAATAAAAACAAAAATATTATTAAATTGAAACCCGAGGCTAAAGACTTTGTGAAAAATGAGAAACTTACGCTGTTGCCACTTTCAAGCCAAATATGTGTCTTATATAGCGACAATTTGGGATAAACCCGTTTGTATTTGCCGTTAGTAGTAGGCACAATTGGTTGTATTACATATGGCACAAATTCGCCATCGGAACTGTATTCAAAAATGCGTTCCGTCTCCAACGAAATCTTGAAATGTAAGCAAAAAAAAAAAATAAATAAATAACAATTTAATTAGTATAGTATTTGGAGTCAAAATGAGAGAAAATGCTTTCACTCTTATTGTTTTAGTCGGCAGTGCTTACATTTTTGGTGGTGAAAATGCGACGCACCGTCGATGCATTCGTAAAGTACCAAACATACTTTATAAGCCCTTTGTATTTTCCCGTTTTTATAACAGTTGTGCTGCTAGGCATACGCAGCTTTATACCGGTGCTGAAAGTTTTGCTAAAGTGAGCAAATATTTCCTACCAAATGTAAAATCATGGCATTAAAATATAATTCCAGTAGCAAAAGGGGCTAACAAACCTCATGAACATGGAATATATGCTCCACACTCCTTTCTTCCACAATACCAACACTATCATTGATAACCTCAATAACATAGTCCAGCCACGATGAAAAGGCTAGCGATGGTTCTTCGCTACTTGAGACTATACTCTCATCGTTTGCTGGACGCTGTTCCAAAGAAGTAACACCATTAACGATTATCGATCTCTTTTCCGGTAATGGTGGAAATTTACGTGTATTTAAACTATTCACCAACTCGGAAGCTTTAACTGGGCATTTCTTGACCACTGCAATGGTGGGTAACTGGATTGGTGGTGCCTCGACCACGTGATTGGACTTTAATAGCGAATTATTATTGTAAATGGTTGTAGAATGTGTTAAATCTGCGTTTTCTAGAGTTGTCGACTCTGTAGCGCAACTATCGATCGGTGTTGTATTATTTAGTATTGGCGCTTCCAATATACTTATACCGTTCCCTAGCCATGTATGATCTTGCTGCAACGTGATGTCATCAGTTGTCGATAAGTCAATTTGATCGGTGAGTTCAAATTGGTCCATTAACTCGATTTTGCAATCACTCAGCTCCAAATGTGCAGTTGTCACATTGTTGGCTAGTGCTGATGATGACAGAGATTTTACGCCATTGATGAATGGAGCTTCATGAAATTTTATATCCTCTATGTCTTCTGCAGTAATGGCAAAGCTTAAACCTAAATTCGGATCACCAGGATGTAGTATATCGCTGTGATTTGTGTTTGAATTTGTAGCTATGGAATTATCCATTATATTTTGGTTATGTAGTTGTTCTATAGATTTAGACGGATTACTCAGGATAATGTCTTCGAAGTCGGGAATATTCTACGAACGTAATTAAATATAAAAATTATATTATAAAACAAATAATTATGATACCGATCTATAATATTTGTATTGACTCACCCCACCAGACATAAAATCACTATTATAAATAAAAATATCATCGACTGGTCGACTATCACCACCGCCCATGTCAAAGTTTCCACCGATATCAATGCTCAAACCAAACAGTGCGTCCTCCTGCGTTGAGTCCACAATTGGCGTCTCAATATAAGTAGGCATCCAATACGATTTCAATGCGCTTGCGAAATTTCCAAACATCGCCTTACCTTTGCGATTACTTAAAACAGCCGCCAAAACTAAAAGGATGTGATCGCACACCTCTTCCTGCATTACAACGGAATTATCAGGTTCAACAATGATTTTCAGTTTTTTACATGAACAGGAATATATTCCCTTTTTTGTAGAACAGCCATTACCGATAGCTGTGACATGTAATCGTCCAGCTGGAAATACTTTCGATATTTCACATTTCACCACAAATAAGGAATTGGATATACGTTGCACTGCAGGCACATTAATTTCTTCTTGTTGATAAGTATTCCACAAACGTTCCTTGTGTTCATTATCTAAGCTGTTCAAGTTCCACAATACATCGCGGGAAATAGTGAAGACTTCCGCGTTCGGAGGCGAATCTGGTTTGGTTGTACAAGCTAAAATATGCTTGCAAAGATCTGCATTATTTGATGCTGCAGGGCTGCAGTTGTAACATTCATATTTTTTTGTATCGCTTTTGCTTGATGCTGTAATTAACACAAAGTTGCGAGGTTGTGCATTCTGTTCCTTTTTGCGTAGGGAGTATAGTGACTTCTGTTTATCTAGACTTTCCAGCTGCACTGGATCTAATGGTATATGCGTACGAAGCGCCTCTTTTCGTAATTTACAAAATTGATTTCGACATATAGAACTACGTACACCATTAAGCTGGCCACAGCCGGGGCAACGCTTCAATCCACGTAGTGATCCCCGCGAAATCGGTGTTGATAAGAATTCAAATTTTTTTGGTAAGTTACCTAAACCCGCGCGCACTTGATCCGTCATTGTGCTTAAATCAACGAAATTTTCCCCAATCTTTATTTTTGTTGTGGTCTACATATTTTGCAAAAAAGCAACGAACACAAAACATGTGTTGCAGGGTTGCACAATGCAATAAAATGTGGCTCAGACAATATTTCATAGAGCTTCTTCCAAATAATAACATTTGCACTTTTAAATAACTTTTAGAGACTTATGCAATTAGTAAGTGTATGCACGTTATATTTACAATTAAAATATTTTTAAAATAAACATTCCCATATTTGGTCTTAAGCATAAAAGAAATTTAACAAACAAAATTATTACAGTATGGCAATTTTAATTGAATTTTTGTGAGCAAAACAGAAATAAGAACAGACAAAAGAAAATACTCAATATTTTTTTAGGAATCACGTTTATTAATTAAATAACAACAGTACAACGATATTTACCCACCTGGCCTTAAACGCTATCTGTCCAAAGCATTCGAAACCACAAATTGTTATAATGTTCCTCTTTGTAACCATTGCAGTGCTGTGCCTGTTGTTGACCATTGTAGGAGACCTGGTTAAATTGGTAAGTGAGTGGCTAATAGCAAGTGCCACCGGCATTGAATCAACAATATACATCAAATAAGACTATTGTTTAAAATATTTGTTTATTATAGTTACAACTTTCGAAAATTTTTCGTTGCGTTTCTGGTTCTGCCTCCAATGATGAGCTGCAACAGCAACTAAAAGAGGCCCGTGAAAAGGTTGAACGCATACGCCAAGGGTCGGCTGGAACTAGTCACTACACATACACTGTAAAATTAATGCGTGCCGAAAATGAATTGAAATCTATTCAGTCCAAATTGCGCAGTGAAGGCAATATACAGCGTTTAAAAGGTGCCTCAGTCGAGCTTGTTGTGGGCTACCTACTGAAAGGTATCATTTCACTGGCACTCTTCATTATCACAGTACGTAATCGTTACGCACCAGTTATAGTGTTTAACGAAAATATTAGCTTTGAACCTCTTGGCGGCCTGTTGAGCTTTCCAACGGGCGTCCCCAACGCAATATCTGTGCCGTTTTGGGCATTATCCTGCAATAGCGCATTCCGATTGATTCTCAACGCTCTCAAGGGAAAGTGATTGTATTGGTTTTGGCAATATCAATGGCATTTGTTTCGGTAGCAGTAAATTAGGGAATAACACAAGCTTATTTATATGTGTATAACTAGAAATTGTTTTAGCTTTATTGTGGTACAAAGCAGATCATTGTACTTTTGCCCCAATATTAACAGAACGTGGAGATCTGAACTGCCATAAAAATATTGCATTTCATACATTTTCATTAATTCACATACGTTTATTTATTGTGAAATAGTTTGCAGTACATTAGGAAATATTTTTATCGAATAAAATAAAATAAACTGATATAAAGTTTTCTAATAAAAAGTAACTTTATTTGTTTTCCAGAGCACAAACAAGTGTTGGTTTAGTGGAAACTTAAAATAAGTAGAGATGAAAAGAAGTAAATATATTCTTCTATATACAACTTTGATTAATATTGTAAAAATGTTCCCAAGAAAAAGAATATATTAGATTTTGCCATACAAGCTTTTACAAAGTTCACGATTGTAACAAACATACTGAATTCGTAGACGTTGTGGTCGGTAATGTGGTGCCGCCAGAGAGCTTAATAAGAAAAAGAAACTCGGCGCAAATAATTTATAAGGACGAGGTGGCCGAGTGGTTAAGGCGTTGGACTGCTAATCCAATGTGCTCTGCACGCGTGGGTTCGAATCCCATCCTCGTCGCATGAATTTTTTTTATCACAATTTTATTTATTACCTATTGAAAATTTAAATTTTAAATGAATTATTGATATTATCTTCGTATGTGTAAAACTCGTTATCATTCCGGTTAAGTAAACCCGACCGACATGTACTTGAACTTGGGAATGAATTTTACAACAAACTTCATGTATTGTTGGTTACTATTATCATTAACACAACAGTTGGAGTTTTACATTTGTTTGCTTCAGCATTTAATTTTTTAATAATTAAAATAACAATATTTTCGTCTTTGAACAAGGTTTAGAATCGTTTAAACGACTTGGCACAAACCACATAGGTTCATAAATTCATTTTGCTTCTATAAGAGGGCTGCACTGCACTAGAATTTAATCGATATATTTTTCAGTTCATCCTGGCCTTCCAAAAGCGTGTCAACAAATTTTCCAGCTGTCTGACAATTGATTTGTAAAATATAACATTTTGAGTAACGCAAGTTATTGTATTAAAATATGAATGAAAAGAAATTTTTGTCATAGGTAGGTAGGTAGAGTGGATGTCTGACGACCCATCTAGGCCTTTAGGAGGCCCATTGTGAAACCACCGGGATTAAAATACCCCTAGTCTATTATCTCTCCTCTCTGAAACACCCTGTGCTCCCTAAGAAGTTGATCAATATAAATTTTTTTATCTTTTCCTATATAAATATTTGTATTCATATTGACGATGTTCTATAATCTCTTTATCTTCTACCTCTTGACAGCTTCTACAATAGTTATTTTATGGTGCTCCCAGTCTGCTGGCATGTCTACCAATTAGGCAGTGACCTGTTAGCACTCTTACTAAAATTCTTATGTCATTCCTCTTGTCTTAATCAAACACTCTTTTTTCTGAAAAAAATTCTGCAAATAGTAGCTTGATGAGTATTATCTGGTCTCGGCGCCATAGGAAGCAGTAAGCAAAATTTTGAATGGTTTGTTCCCTACTCAGATAATCAGGTTATTGCCAACAAAATTAAATTTATCGAGATAGCTGACACCATAGAGAAATCAAAGAAGCTTGTTGAATGTTCATGAATATTTGGGATTGCGAAAACTCTGTACAAAGTGGATACTCTGCGAACTCAACGAGCGACCAATTTACAAATCAATGATAACGATTGCAATACTCCAAATTTACTACAATATATGCTTTGGATTTCTCCCCTAGCAGCTTTTGCCTGTCTTCAGACCTTGAGACAATAGTCGCTGGAAAGAAAACGTTGAAACTGAGAGCTTTTCTGAATGAAGAAACAAAAAGTACCTAAAAATTGGAAGATCATCATAATCAGTGTATCACTCTCGATAGCAAATTTGTTTCATAATAAAAATATCATTTTTTCTCCAAAGCGATACAAGCTTTACAGCCTGTCTGTTGTGTATACTCCTGCTAGGGGAAAGAGAGAGATAGACAGTAACTAAGAATTAACGCGGTATTTGCTTATCAAGAGGACGGATAGCTGGTTGTAGCCTGTTATTCGATATTTAAGGAAAATAAAATGAAAAGTGGAATCTTATTAACGCAAGTTATGAGGAATCTCAGCAATGGAGCCATTATGGTATTCTAAACTTTAAAATCTCCAAAGATCTTCTTTTGATCTATTATAGCACATATTATACTACAGTAGAACTTCGTGAAACTTTGTGCAATCTTGATGACCATAGGATATTGTGAAGCTGGGCTTTATCTACGTATTGGTAGCGGTTAAATAACACTGATCTTAATATATTGCTCATAAATCACAATATCCGAGAATTTACAGCTATGATTTTACATAACCGATATAAATTATGATTATTTTCTTGTACAATAATATTATAATACAAACGATCTCTTTAACTTTACCGACTTAGGGATGGTAAAGCAGTGTTTGTTGTGAAATAAACACACGAGTCATTTGGTATATAACGACGAGGTGGCCGAGTGGTTAAGGCGTTGGACTGCTAATCCAATGTGCTCTGCACGCGTGGGTTCGAATCCCATCCTCGTCGAATAATTTTTATTTAATTTTGAAAATTTTTAAATTAGAAATCTAAGAGAAAAGTTTTCTATAACAAACTTTGATTTCGTTTAACTAATGATAGTGATAAAAGTCCGAACGTTGTATACAATGAAGATCTAGTTACTGTATATATGTACGTATTGTATATATTTGTGTGGTTACAGTTAAAGTTCCAGACGCAAGAGTTTGGATTTAGTGATGATTTTAAAGTTATTTAATGGTAAAACCCAGATTTTGATTGTTTCTAATAACTTGCAATTAGTAATATGTATAATATTTGAGTGTATGTATGTAAACACTTTCTACTAATACAAAAGTGACTGATTTTGACATAAACCACTGATTTGAAATTAGCTTAAATTAAATGGAGAAATTATCGTTGAACATATTATATATGTATTTATATGCATATTGTATCAGCAAGCAAAAACCAATATTCGACGAGGATGGGATTCGAACCCACGCGTGCAGAGCACATTGGATTAGCAGTCCAACGCCTTAACCACTCGGCCACCTCGTCTTCTTGGAAAACTTTCGCCGGTAAACCGTTTCACAATCTATGCACCCTACAATCAGTTAACAATAATTTATAACAACAATTAATAAACAAAGGTTTTAGAAGAATCGCATATTAGACATTAATTTTGTTGTAAATTTCAATTGGCTTTTGCATTTGCTAATCTTTGATCAAGTAGATGGAAGCATAGTGTTATCAAGTCTTCTTTTTAACTGATAATAAGGCAATACTTAAATTTGTATGAATGCCTCGAAGAGTTGCAAATGTAAGCATTATGTAAATATATTTATAAATATATAATATACATATGTACAAGTATGTATGTCTATACAGAAACCATACTACTTATATGTAGTTTGTCGAGTACTTATTTTTGCAAGCAATTACTACTCTGCTCTGCATAACTGTTCTAAATGATTTTTAAAGCAACAAATCGCATTACGCGTAACTTTCGGAGGTTTTGACATGAATTGTTTTATTTTATTTATTTTTTTGTTTTGTTTTTTACTTTTTCATTTAACATTTGCGTCAGCTATTTACCTTTCGTTACTTTCTTATATTTATGTATGTCGAAATATGTATGTAAGTATATGTATTGTATTTTCTCATTAGCATGCATATATACTTGCATGTTACTTATATGTTAACAGTTATCTCTATATAAACATACATTTATACATAATTGTTGATAGATCTGTAATTATTCAAAAGTGTTTACACAAACATTTAAAAATCCATTGAGTTCAATAAGCGCCGGTAGCCGCTGGTAAATGAACTAATAAAAATATTATAAGCATATATTTGGTGGCTCTCATTTCTGCTGACCTATATCCGATTTCGTATTCATGCACTCCAAAGAGTGGCCCTTGAAAGACTCAGGTATTTCAAGTTAATGATTTGTTAAAAAATTGAGAAATTAATTATCTTTTTTTTTTCAAAATCAGAGTCAAGTTCAACTGAAACTTGTTTTGATTGCACTGTCTCTTGATTCTTAAAATTATAAATAGTATAGGTTTAAGCATTTCCCTCACCGACCGACGGCCAACTATCACAAGAGAAATTTACGATCATATAGTAAATTACAGTTATATGTATTATAGTAGACTGCTACGGTTAAATTTCAGCTGAATAAGTTCCGTGTGGAAACAGTTGATCTCGTGTGAAAACAACCGTATCCGAGAATTTTGAAAATATGCAAAAATACCAATTTCGTTCGGAGATTCGATTCTTTTTATTGGTCGCCCAAAAACAGCAAACTCGTATGTAACGTGACAAACGTCCACCGTTTCGTATTGGCAGATCACAGATGGAAGGTGATCGAGGCATCTACGATGCCTGCGGAGTTGGAACATCGCTCGGTCTAGTGTATCGACTATGTTAAAAAATAAATAGAAAATTTTCTGAATTTTTTTCGTAGGCTAAGAACTTTTTGGATCGCCCTCGTACTAAAATAGACACAGATCGTACTAAAACAATACCTTTATTAACAAGGTGAATACATTTTGGAACTTCACGAAAAAAAGAGGTTAGTACCTAGTGCGTTTATCGAAGTCACGCGAGGATTTTAATCGACTACAACAAATATTTAGGTGGAACGACACAATTTCCTGGCACGAAGAGGAAAATTCGTCAAAATATTTATGTAGGTTGGCGTTGATAATGACAAATAACGCATACAATTAAATAATGTGTTGTACTAATTTTAAAAACTGTTAAATCATAGCTGACAACTTGTGCTGTTAGAGGAACAAATACGTCACTGCTGCGTTGGACAAATCAAATGGAGAGGTACCCTACTCTACTTGAATTGCGACAATGTGACAGTAAAAACGACAACCGATATTAAATATCTAGGAAAAATACTCCATTATCTTCCTTAAGAAGGAATTCTATTTTAGAGGAGCGAATTTTGAGCGATTTTGACAGTAGGTGTAAAAAAAAACAATTGCTAATTTACGAACCATTTTTTTACAATTTGTTTATTCATATTTCTAAAGTACACGAAATAAATTTCATTACAAATAATTTATACGGTTATGCGTCCTTGAAGTATGGGAGAAATGGCCGGCTGCATGCTCGTCCTTGTGGTCAGTTTAATAATAAAACGACAAATAACGGATTCTTCGTTAGTATTAGTTTCATAAAATGGCGGCTACGCAAAGCAACAACACAGGTCGATTTTTCCACTAAGTTTTTAAATTTATCGAATTTTTCAACATAATAAAAGGGTAAATTTTCAGAAAAGTCTAACGAACGTGACAGGCGCTCACTTTTAGGTGTTACAAACTACCGTTAAGTGAACAAAAGTATTATACACTGTGCAATATATTGTGAGGGTATAATAACTGATATAAGTACTATAGTAAATTGTATACTCGTTTGTAAATACTCCAATTAATAAAACCTATCATATACTATGCACTTCCAACAAACTTGTGATATTATAACGCATTCATAGCAACCAGATAAGATTGTAGAATAAATTACGCATTTGATTACGTAAGTACCAAGCAAAAATATATAGAGTAATTTGCGTGTTGCACCGCAATTTACTACAATTCTTCCAAGTAATTACAAATAATACTCACATCCAGCATATTTTCGCAGCTTCTTAATGAGAGAAGGACAAATAGAGTCAACAATCAATTAATCACTCGTTTATGGAATTTAGACAATTACTATATTTAATTAAAGCAACACATGTTTCATTCATTATTGAGCTCCGGAGCTGTCAGAGAGCCTCTGCATTAAGGAGAAGGACAGGGTAAAGCGTTGCTGTAGTACTACTTACATACTATACAGTACTTATGTATTCATATGTGGGCCGCTGCAATGGCTGGGCGGCAGTAAGGGAATGGCAAAAGAACTTGAACGATCTGTATGAACTTGTTTACAAAACAGGATAATTGAAATTCTTCGCGATGAATGCTACACGTGCGAAGGTTTCTGCTTAGAACAGTGGTCTTTCACTGAGCGCACTTACTCACTGCCATATAGTTAGAATGTTTCTGATATATATATATATTCATATGTATGTGTGTGTGTTTGCTTGTGACTTGACAGAAGTGCCACAAATAGTTGGCACTCCAAACGACTTGATATTTTTAGATTGTTAACTGTGCGGGAATTTAGGTGCAATTATGTGTGTTTAAGGGCATCGAACGTTGACTATAAACAATTGCTTACATACATACTTACATACAAATATGTCAAGTAAGTTTTTAACGTTATAACAAGGACAAGGACATGAGGACTGAGACTAATTACACGAAGCATTGACACATCGTAGGAATTGCATTTTATTTATATCTAATGTGTAGAAAGGTGTGGTGAACACTGATAGCTTGAGCCAAGTGCTCTTCTAATGGTTGAAATACTTGAATTATTAATTGCGAATTTGTATTTTTTCTTTTTCTTTTTTGGTTTTTTAACGTATATAAAAGAAAAGTGTATAACATTATGTTTACTAAATTAAATTCTCGGCTAGTTTATAGACAAAGTAGCTTTCGTCGGAAAAACCATAGTGGTCTTGTGAACTCAAAAAGTACTTGGATGCTGAGTACATGTTATCATCTATATGATGATCAACCGATCTGATTAAAATTTACACGAACTGAAAATTTGATACAGTTCTGACGTCATATTCATAAACCAACGTCACGTCACCAGTAATAATGGTTTTGATGAATCTTGAGTACTCAGCTACGTTGTCAATCATCTCTTTTGCGACCTCTACTCTGTCGTTTTTGCAAAAGATTCAGGTATTTTGATACGAGTCTAGCATTGGCACACTTCATACACACTTCATTAACCAAATGTCTTGAGTCGTTTTACAAGAAATGTTGAGTTCCTCTGCAAGCACCGTTATATCATTATTAACAGAGGTGGATGGATGACTTTTGGCCATACGTTCCAAACGAAGTTAAAAAAAATACTATACATGGACGACTCGCATGAGCCAAGTTTTCGAGGACTTCACGATCATTTAATGCTTTAAATTTGCTTCCCAAATACTTGTGTTCGTGATAAAATAGTCACCCCAAAATGATTCTACAACATTTTTAACGATTGCGTAGCTTAGATTTCATTCGAAACACAAAATTTCAAACAAACTTGTTGTTCAGTTTATTTTTCCATAGTAAAAAAATGTTTGCGTCTTAAACAAACAGCTGTCAAACACCCACTAATTGACATAAGGGGTTCAAAGTTCACACGGACATAAAACAGGATTGCGCCAGTTTAAAAAGACTAGTCTGAGTCAAATTTAATGTTTGAGAAGAAGTACTGTGACTCTTCTACTATAACGACGACTGTCACAAATTTACTTACCGAATTTCAACGATATCTCAATTCGTTCTATGATATATCACCCCTATGTTTCCTGAAAACTAGGAAGATAACGTAATAAAAATCCATGTTCTCGTATTGGCATATCGTCGATTGAAGGATACAGTAGACATCTCAGAAGCCCTCTTGGGTTATATACTTTATGAAATGTTGGGAATGAGAAGGATGTTCTATCATCCGAAAAGGAAATAGCTATCGTTTTCTGGGAATCGCAAGGTGTGATCTACATCAACTACTTGGAGAAAGGCAAAACGATCACAGAGTTCTACTATACCGAATTATTGACGAAAAATGCTCTACCACCATGACCCAGATTGAGCTCTCTACGACTTCGTTTGGTTTACAAACGACACTTGCTTTACCACAAAACTATTTTCAGGCGTGTAAGAGAAGTTGGAGAGCCATTGGGTCAATTGTATCGAGCTATAGGGTGATTACAATGGAAAATAAAACTCCATTTATCAAAAAAAAAAAATCGTAAGAAAAATACCAATCAGACCGATTAGTATAACTCTGAATGAGATATGATTAAGTCCTGCTACTCTGTCAGCCTTACCCGAACTAACTATTAAGTACAACAACATATCTCTTTAACTTAGTGTGAGTAAAATATTAACTTACTTAAAAATATATATAAATATATATAAATGTATATATAACTCTTTTGTAAGAATCACAGAATAAAAATTACTACCAGAATATCTTAAATAATTAATATATGAGTAGCTTTGCATTTTTAGACCAATTAAAAGCAAATTATGCCAATTATGTTGGCAATATGCATTATACACGTGCACTCTTACTTTAATCCCACACTGAACTAAATACCTTGAGAGCTCTAGTTCTAATGGAAAGCGACAGAACGCGAAGCAGAGCCAATGACCTTCGCCTCATTAGTGGCAACATCATCTTAAATTTTTTTATTGCACTTAAAGCTTAGGCAACACGAATTGCATGTGCATTCTCTGATCTAATAAAGATGGCATGATAATTTAACGAAATCGTAGATATTCCACTTACTCAATTCTATTTATGTAGATATGCACCAAAGTATCGAGGCAATAAAAGATTTTACACCTTCGTGACAGATAATTGCTTTTCACTAATTTCACATTTTGAATAACAAGAAGAGGCTAAGAAATCATTTGCTGTCACTCCCATTGATTTGAAAAATTATCATATTGCATTTTTAATCAGAAAAGAGGCGGAACATAGTAGCGCCATCAGCAGCCAGAAAATATACGAGGACAGGTGGATAAGTAACGGATTTCTTATAGAGAAATGTGGACTCAAAACGTGGACCAAAAAAGCTCAATTTAAAAATATAAATACCTATATCATATCAAGGACGTAGAATCCTGTTGGAAAACTGTTGACTGAAAATAAAATTGAAATAGAAATAGAACATTTCAGTTAAGTAGCATCATACTGCTATTCCACTGAATAAAAAACTATTATATAGTAAGTCTGTAATCAGATTTACGCACAAAAACAAGTATTCTTGTTACAGAATTTTTCGCCTAACACTTACCAGTAACATCCAATTCCTCATAATTGACCACGACAAGCCACGCTTTCTGTCTTTAAAACATGTAAATGAGATTTTGATTGGCCTGTTTACTTGTGTTTACAAGAATATCAAAGTGACCACATCTTACGGCCAGCTGTTTTCCTTTCGTAGCAACACGATGACGTTGCGCATGCGCCTCTGCGCAAATATAAAGAACTGTCTCAGCGCCAATGTGAAGTCATTTTAATTTCGCGGCTTGCAGTGCGCAGTACTTTCGAGTGTACAAATAAGTGTTGGGAAGTTGGAATTTAAGTTGTTTTTTACAAACAAGGTGAATTCAATTTTACAATTAATGATTAGAAATTTCAGAGAATTCGCAGAGAGATAAATGTTTTATAAACAATTTTATTGTAGAAAATACTTTAATATAATTGGAAAAGTAAAAAATAAAATATTAAATTTGTGTGCAATTAGTGAAATATGTGTTTTTATTGAAGTGATCAATACATTTTTTTGTTTAAATATTTTACTATAATATTTTATAAAAGTTTTTTACTAAATATTGATCACTTTTAAGGAACAGAAAATAATATTTTTTGCGAAATATATTTTTTTTGTAAATACTGATATTGAATTACTTATTGTTTTATATTTTGTTATTCAACGAAAAATTAATTTTTATAACTTTGGTTTTTAAATTTTTTTTAAATGATTTCTTATAATTAAAGGTTTCATACATAAAGGACTAAAATTTAGAGATTATTTTATTAAACAGCTAATAATAAAGCCAAAACATTAGCTTTGGTTGCAACGAAGTTCTAATACCCTTCACAAATAAAAAAGGTTTCCATACAAGAACTTGATTTTCATCGATCAGTTTGTATGGCAGCTAGACGCTATATCTGTTAGACTTAAACTAGAGATTGTTCCAACGCCTTTATCAAATAAACAACTTTTTTATACAAGGCCTGGGCTTTGATCGATGAGTGTGAATGAATTATTTGTTAATAAAAATGTCGAAAAAATTTAACGGATATCTCATTGAAAAGCTGAGAAAAACTCGTAAAGAAAAGGCATTCATTTTTTTCAAGCGTTTAAATTTTGAAAATTAATAACTCTAAAATGTTTCATATTAAGTCTAAATAAAAAAATACGTGGCTAATATTTTACCTCAAAGAGCACAAAAACAAAAAAAAAACGTTGATTTCGGTTGTACCGAAGTTATAATACCCTTCACAAATACAAATGTTCCTTACAAAAACTTGATTCCAAACGTTCAATTCGTATGTCAGCTAAAAGCTATAGTGATCTGATCTGTACAATTTCTTCGGGGATTACATTGTTATCTTAGGTAATAATTCATGCCAAATTTCGTGAAAATATTACTTGAAATAAAAATGTTTCGCATACAAGCACTTGTTACTGGTTGTTCAGTTTGTATGACAGCTATATGCTATAGTGGTCTGTTATCCGGTAGTTCCGACAAATGTGCACCTTATTAGTGCGGAAATGACAGGTTTAAAATTTCAGATCGATAACTAAAAAACTGAGGGACTAGTTCGCGTGTATACAGACAGACGGATATGACTAAATCAACTCAGCTCATCATTCGGATCATTTACATATATATTTTATAGAGTTTCTTTCTGAATTTTACAAACTTCGTGGAAAACTTTACTCTGTTCAAGGTGTAAAAATTAAATTTGAAAGTAAGATTTTCGATTTTTTAAGACTGTTCGACCCTCCGAAACAGAGTTTTTCTCTAACAGAATTTCTGATATCGAATGCCACACACTTGCAATGAAGCTTCACAAGTTTTAACTTCGGAATAGCTAGTAGATTTATAAAAAGTTATTTCATGTCAGGTATATGAGGTCAAATTGAGTGAGTTAAGAAATATAATTGGCATCTCAGAGGAACGTGTAGGTCGTAAGTTTTACAGAAGATAAAAAAATAAAAAATAAAAATTTTATGATATGAATTTGTCCTTTTATCACCGTATTCAACAAATTAAGCTACAAGCGAGTATTTCTTCTTATCGAGGCTTAAAAAGTTTTCACTGAAATAAGGAGGTCGAGATGAAAGCAAACGCCTATTTTGTAACCCTCGAAGCTTCACACTGTTGAAACGGCATCGAAATATTGGAGGAGGTTACAACAAACGCATTACTCTAGAAGGAAATGATGTCGGAGTATAAAGCCATATTTTCGTTCAAATTAAGTTCTTTCATGGTTAGGCCAAAGACTTTTCAGTTACTGCCGTAATAGTATTACACAGATATACTAAATATACATACATACAAAATAACCAATACATATATGTGATGAATTGCTAAAAAATAAATTTCAGTGTTTATTTTTAAAAGTGTTTGTATGTAAAAATAAATAAATTCATTACATAGCTTTCTAAGGAAAGACATGCAACCAAAATTATTGTGATACTGTGCAATACAAGTATGCTTATAATTGTTGCATGTACGCAAGTTATGTTGCATTTGTCGTTAAAGTGCATTAGGGATGGAGATATGCCACCGAACTTTTTTTTTAATCTTTTATCCACGAATAATTCTGTTCTTCGAATTGTTTGCTATTTTCTTTTAATACCAAAATACTTTCATTAAAGAGTTACATTCGCTTGCACGTCGAAAATTCGCTCTTTTTGTATTTTTTTTTTTTGAAGAATTATTTTATTTGATAAAAAATTAAGAAAATGTGCATTTACAGAGTTTCATGTACTTTAACAATTGGCTCATATTAAAAATTTTGTATTCCCTTGCTTCCTTAGACAATTTCCAGGAGGACCTCCGAAAAAGGTCCCTGCCGGTGAGCAAGATTTTTTGGTTTAACTATATATGAAATCCAAAAATGTAAAAATAAAGTTGATAATTATAAATTAATACAATAAATGATCGAAGAACTAGTCAAAATTACGATTTTTGACAAAATGACGGCTACCCAAAAAAGGCGATTTTATGAAAAGTTTACACTTCAGAGTGGCTTAAAAATTATTGTCAAAATCATATGCATTCGGTCATTAACTGACAAATAGTATATATAAAAAGATCGTGTGAAAATTTTCGAACCGATCGGATTTTTGAAGAAATATTTCGCACCGACTTTGAAAACCACGTTTCGAGAAAAACGCGTTTAAAGTTTTGGGAGTCAATTATGTTACACTAAGTTGAAAAATTCTCACAAATAGGCTCTTACTAGTAAGTTATCTACGGAACTTTTTGCCGGGTAAACATCAAATTTTGGCAGAATATTCTCAAAACAGTATGTACATTCGATATATAGGATCGATGTTTTTTTATTTGCTAGTGAATACAACCCTTTAATCTAGTAAGATTATGAAAAACTCTTAACATCTATATAGCATTACTAACAGAAACATGATGACAATGAATTAGCTGTTTCTAATATTAATATGGAAATGTACGTATATTGGTGTTAGATACTTCAAAATTATTCGGGATATCAAAAAATAGTGGGTAATGTTAAAAAACCATAATTAGCACCATACAGACTTCAATTTGGCAAATAAAAGAAATTTTGGTGCCGAAAACACAGTACAGTACGTACAACCCTAGTGCACAAATTATAAGTTTGCAGCTCATATAACTGCATTAGTTTTAAGTAGGTGACAACACTCGTCACTAGATGAGGCAATTTCGAGAATAGCTGGCGCTAAAAATAATCACAAAACCGTAAAAGCACAAGGGGAACCAAGCAAATATTACAGCAAGCTATTATGAACGTATAACCACATATTTGCTTATACTCGAAGAAAAGATAGTAAAAGAGAAAGAAGTGGGTAAAGAGTCAGAGGAAGGTTGCAGGTCTACTAGAGCAATAAATTTTGTGCCGATAAAGAATCAACTGTTAGCTAATACCCACATATGTATGTAGATATGTATATACTCGTCGTATTACCGCACAGATGTTATGAAACATACGAGGCTGCGAATCTATGCTTGCACTATTGGACCGTTTGAAGTGCTAAGTCACGGTCAGGCCATTGATATGCTGACTTGACTGCACTGACGTATACGTAATGGCTAATCGAAATGAGCTCGCAGAATCATTGTTTACGGTTATCATTGCAGATGCATTCGTCACGTGGCGAGATTACTTAATACGCAATTTTGCCAACCGCAATGCTGATACCGATAAATGATAAATATGCATTGAGATTGGCGTGCATATATGTTTATTCCAAATAATAATCGAATTGCCCAACATTTTTCCGCACTTCGGGTAAACTATTTAAATATCGAATAAGTACTAATCACATCTTAGCTGACGTTACATATACAAGTAGTTTGCTCAAAAAAATACCGTTTTCACATTTGCATACAGAGTTATATCGTAGCGCAGAGTCTCATAGTTGTTGGTATGGTATGGAAATCCAGTATACATATGTAACTTTTTCTGGGGGTGTTCATAGTTCTTCCGTTTGCCACTGAGCCAATTTGACACTACTTTGTAGTAATTTATAGAATGCATTAAAGTTAAGTATTTTTTGTGGGCCTAACCATTTAAGTTTTCCGCGCCAGATAATTTCGATCGGCATTTCCTGTCGACAACCGAAAAGATTTTTCATCATTTTTCATTTGTGTTGAGTTTCGAAGTAGTGATTTTATTTTACATATATATATAAATATTTTATTATATATATATAATATTAGTATATATATAAGTATTATTTACACTGAAATTAATAATCACTTTTCAGAGCAATTAGATTGGTTTAGTAGTGATCCTTATTAACTTAAGAAAAATGATATGACTGTCAAACATAATTTGTTTGTTTAAACTTTAAATATAATTATACCCTAAACAGGGTATATTAAGTTTACCACAAAGTTTGTAACACCCAGAAGGAAAAGTATAAACCCTATAAAATATATATAAGACAAGATTTTAATCTCCGAAGAAATTGCTTAGATTGGATCACTATAGCATATAGCTGCCATATTAACTGAACGATCGGAGTAAAGTGCTTGCTTATTTGGTTTGAAAAGTAACAAGTAAGAAACTAGGTTCGGGAGTAACCGAAAATTTCATATTCTTGCAACTTTCGAACTAACGAAAATCATTATATGTAGCGTAATATAATTTAAGATATTTACAGCATAAAACTATGTATTCTGTATCCGTTTTATATATTCACTTAATTAATCTATGATATCTTACATATAAACCGATATATACAGTATAAGGCCAACCGGATGTTTGAAATTTATATTATAGGATTTTATCAATTTTAGGCACAAAAATGCACTGTTATTATATATATATATGCGGTAGAAAGTAAACCCGAAGTTCGAAAATATTTACATCAGATATGTGGGGGCTAAGGGAAGTATTGACCCGATTCAATCCATTTTTGACATACACGCTACTCCTATCAGAAAACAATGACTCTCTTCAAATTGCAGTCATATATCTCATACATTGAACGATATTTTCGATACAATGTTCGCTGTAGGAACTGGGGTCCCAATATACGGTATCTAGGGGCTTAAAGAGTTATCTTCCGATTTTCAGAATTTTTACATAAAGGCCCTCTTTGTGCAAAGTTTTATTCGAATAAATTAATTGGTGCTTGATTTGCATGCTGGAAAATGTAAGAATCGTATGGAATTTAAAACTGTTCTATATGGGTAGTAGAAGTTGGTTGAAATTGGTCGAATAGGTCCGGACATATGTGATTTCACCTAAAGGTGGGCGGTGCCACGCCCATTGTTCAATTTTAATACCGGCCTCCATAAATCCTTTTTGCACCATCGTGGATACAAAATTTAATGCCTCTGACACATTTGGTTATTAATTTATTGCGCTTTTAGTAGTTTTTAACAAAACCGTTATATGGGGAGTGGGCGGGATTATCACCCGATTTGTCCTGTGCATATGCGAGTGATTTATTGTAGTTTGAATACAAGTAGTTTGGGAAAAACACATAATAAACCTTTTAGGAGACGTTTAATGGATTTTCAAACCACAGTTGCCCCTCCTTAATGCGATTCGTATTACCAAATTACAGTTTTGTATTCGATTAATTGCGTTTGTAGGCGTGGCAGTGGTAGGATTACGCCCTTTTACAATATCAGACTTCTTATGGGGACGGACAGACAGTCAACTGGATTTAAACTCGTCTCGTCCTCCTAATCATTCAGGTACATTTACGAATACATATATAACTCTATATCTATCTCGAATAGTTTCAGGTGATACAAACAACCGTTATATGAACAAAACTGTAGTGCGACAGTAATTTTCTTTATTTTCAGCTCTTTAAGAATTTGGCAATATGTTCCTACAACTTCAAAGAAACTGTTATACGCTGAGAGCAGTGCTCTTCATATCCTTCATCTTTCTTTCATTACTCAACCCAACGATGGTTGCTGGCGGTAGCATACCCTCGACACATAAAAATCCGGCACAACAACAGCAAATCGGCGCACCACAACAAGTACATATGCAACAACAGCATTCGCTGCAACAGCCACACCAACAACAAGCAGCAGAACTCCATCACAGCATGAATCAACAGAACACTAACCCACAGCAGCAGCGGCTACACGAACAACCGGAACAAATGTTGTCAACACTATCGCAACTATCAACAATAACAACAAGTGGCAACAGCAATCCAGTCAATCATGAGTACATCATGAAAGACATTGGCGTGGATGAGGAGCTGAATGATTCATATCAATATTTGAGTGACTTAAAGGTAGAACCACGTTTGACTGCTGGTACTAGTTTACCATGGAATCCATATTTGACAACCAATCCGCCAGGAATGATGACTAATTTGCCTTACAATCCTTACGGTGCGATCGGTGGTGGTGGTGGTGCACTAACGCCATTGGTGACACCTAGATTGATGCCGTTCTTCAGTTACCCACAACCAGTTTTCATACCGTTTCCGATGTATTTCGCACCCACAGACCTACTCTATCCAGGTTATGTCGGCCCTAGTGGTAATGAAATCGAAGAACCAATGCCCCGTGCTGCTAGTGATCACAGGCCGCAATCTACACATTTCGACACCGCTCCGACAACCGGGCCAAATGCAGCTACCGCTCGCAATTCACAAATCTACTTCATGCGCTTCGCTCCAATGCCTTATATGTTCATGCCGGGCTTGGGCTTTACATCGGCTCAACCTAACCTGCCCGCTTTTCAACCATACACGGTACCCGCGATTAGTCCAGTTTTGAATATCCCACTGAATTTCGTTGCGAATGGTAAACCTACAAATATTTATCAGATGGGTGGCACCCCAAATGATTTACAGAACTCCGTTAACTTTAATAACGTTAATCCGTTTAGTGTGCGTCCTCCGTCACCGTTATCCTCAGCATTTGCTTTTGTTGGCGCTCATAGACCGACGGCTGCGAATATTGCGAACAGTTATACATCACATGGCGCGTTTGGTCAACCGGCACCACCTCAGTCTGCCTTGCAGTCGCTTCAGCAGGATTCGAAAATGACATTACTAAAGCGACCCTTCCTTTTCAACGGTCGTCCGGATGAGATCTACACTTTGCCGAACAATTTTAATTCACTGTACTCGAATTCGGCATATTACTAGAAGCAAAAGCGTTAAACGTAGCATTGGAACTGAATTTCAAAAGTATTATGAGTGTATTTAGAGAAACTAAAAGACTATATATATTTCAATAAAATAATCAAGTATTTTTAAAAATTATCTTGTATTTATAAGGTTGGAAAGCTGTTATACATATTGAAGGTAATATAAAACTTTTTAAAAATTAATAATAAACCCGAACTATAGCGGTGCAAACTCGGCATTTGGTAACTAGGGTTCTATACCACGGAAAAATATTTCAATATAGGCCTAAGTGCTGAAAAGAGCTTTAGTAATATGCGGATCTATAAATTGTTTAGACCATCTTGTATCAAAACTAAGAGCATCTCTATTAAAAAAATTAAAAATTTTATGTTGAAGATTTTAAAAACCGCGGGGCAATGGTATCCCCATATTGTCCGGCGAAAATATAATTTAAATATCAAGCTTTAGAGTTTACGCAATTGTCCGGAGCATTCTCTAAACGAATTGAATTGTTGCTAAAGCCCGATTTACGAATTAGAAGCCGGTTTATGTTATTCTCTAAAGAAAGTTCTACTCTATATCAATTTTTATGCGAGCAATCAATGTAAATTTATATTTCCTTTATGTTTTCGGTATATACATATGTATGTGTTGGTATATGGAGTGCCATTTATACTGGTTTTTGGAAATTTTTTGAAGCTTTCAGACAAATTGATCGTCCACGGACAGCTGATGAGTTTTTTGTAAGGATTTTTTGTATAGAGAAATGAACTCAGAGCTCAGAGAAGCGAACTTGACACACGGCAAGAATTATTGTTGTTTTGTTTGGAAAATAAGCATATTTAATACCGCGATTTATTCGTTTCCAAACTTTATTTAAATAAATGAAGAAAAGTTTGTCTACAGATATTTAAAGATGAAGATTAAAAATTGTGAATACTACAATCCCAAAGCATCTTCGAATTTATCACATTATGTTTTAAGAAATGCGCCTACTTTTAAATTTGGATTTCGTGGAAACAGCAGCCTCTGAATTATCAATTACTTTAAAGAATTTTATAGGAAGCCAGATCTCTATATATTTTCAATTGTGTTTTAATATCAGTATTTTCAAAACAATAACTCTCCAGCGATCATTTAAACATGAGATTGAATCCTTAAGTTTCAATTTTTAAAATAATGATACATAAAAATTGAACATTGTTGAAAAATATAAAATTTTTATGAAGAGAATTTTTTCCACAAGAAACGAAAAAAATATTATCTAACATAAAGCACCCTACTGCAAGTCTACACACAAAAAAAAACAGAAGAAAGTTGAATATTTGCAAAAAGACATAAATACAAAAGTTTATCCACCCACCACAATTTCATGACAAGCATTCGATGGCTTTTAGCCAATTAATTGTTGACGCCCTTTGAATAACAATTTACTTTAACTTTGCACATACATATGTAACTACAGAGCGGCTCCTATAAGGTGCGTATGGCAAGGCAGGTGTAAAGTCACGCCGAAATTGATCATAAAATTAATTGCGCTTGACCGTAGCATTGGAGCACACGTGAATTGCGGTAAATAACAGTGAATTGTAAATACTTGTAGCAATAACAATTGTAATGAATACAACGCCAACAAGGATTCAATAAAGACGCGCATAAAAGTGAAAGAAACTATTGCATGTGAGTGCGTGCAAATTTCTATAAACATCAACAAAACGAGGCATAAGATGATTAACCAGCGGAGCTCACTCCTTCTGCTACTCCTCCTTGTATTGCTTTGCGTTTGCGCAGAGTGCGATGCCAAAAAGTGGCGATCCCACATTAAAAAGAAGAGTAATGCACCCAAAATATCAGCCACCTTCCGCACAGGTGAGTTAAATTCGACCACATTTGTTACTACATTCATAAATAACCCCTCTGCCTCATAACTAGTACCACCGAAACGCAAATCATCAATGCCGAAATATCACGCAGCTCCACATAAACGTGACCCGAAAATGAACTACTATCATCCATTGCCCACAAAATGGCCCACTCATATGGCCAGCTCATTGTCGCCCAACTATTATTTGGCGTCGTCGTATTACCCCCGCTGGCGTTCCTACCACACTGCACCGTCAAAGTCAGCACTCAAGAAAATTGATTTGACACCTCCATTTACGCCACTGCCGTTTGGTAGCTACTCAATGCCACTGCGTCGCTCCGATGATTTTGATGTTTCGGCTAGCAGCAGCATTAGCAGCAGCGACGCTTTGCCGTCCACCACTTTAGTGGACATGAGTGCCTTCAATGCTGCAATAGCTGATGGCTTCTTTGATGCTGATTTACCACAATCCCACACAAGTGGTGAGTTTCTGCAACCGGAAATATCGTTAGGCGGCTGGACACCTGTGGATTACAAGTCATTTATGGCAGATGCCGATTTCAGTCTCTGGAACGAGCAGTTGGGTTTGAATCGACGGCTAGATATGGATGAACTGATGTACAGTAATCCTTATGAAATGCATTTTATTTGATTTCAGTTATTTAAAATACCAATATCTTTTCCTATGAGGTCTCAAATAATTATCCCTTAAAATACTAACTTTAGAATTAGTTAAACCAGAGACACAGAATTTGTTGAAATAAAAATGAAAATAATTTTTATATAAAGTTATATTGAAGTGCAATTGTGTTTTTTGTTGCTTTAATCACAATATTAATTATAAATCAGTTTTCATTGTTGCATGAAATTTGCAACTGATTTTTTTGCTAACATCTTCAGTTCGTTCCACGGTTAGCCACATTCATCGATTTATTTTTGTAAGCGCAGCGGGCTCTCTTATTACTCTTACGGAGTTTTAATTCCTTAATTAATTAAGCCCGTAACATCTTTTCACAGTGTTGTATCTATCCATCTTAATTTTCGCAATTTGATATTGTATGCTATGGGTTCCAAATTGTATTTATTGCATAAGTCGTCATTACTGATGACATTAGGCCACCACAACTTGAGGATACGCCCTGAGCATCTGTTAACAAAGTTCTGAATCCAGTAGGGTGGTCGTTATTTCACATATATTTTCTTAGAATATTTAATTTTTTTAATATTTAATAATTATACACATTTGTTGTTGGGAAATAGGTAACTAAGAAAATTAACTAAATTTAAAAAAAATATGACGCTTCCAATTTATTTATGGACATTTTTTTATTATATTATGACCTCCCTATTGGTTTTGACATTTCGTGGATTTTCAGTACAAATTTTGTAAACTTCATTTTATATTTATTTACTCATTAGTTATTTCATGGTAAAACTTAGCATACTTATAGGGGTGTTAAAATTGTTAGCTTCAAATAAATGAATACATCATATAGACATACATATGTATGTATGTACACATTTAATCAAAATTTGTTTACCTCATTTATTTATGAAAAAATTTTATTTCGGAAAAACGATAGCTATAACCCTAGAGAAGTATTGTACATGCATATTTTATAGCCATTCGGATGCTAAATACTTTACACCTTTAAGTCTCCATATACAAACAGTCTCCCATCCTAAGAAAAGCCTGGTGAACCCGTTCACTCAAATTTTCACGTAACCATAACTAAAATTAGATTACCATGCTGAAAAAGTGGTTAAAGGCACACTAATATTTAGTAGTGCTGGACCTTGGTTCGATCCCAGTTCCCGTCAAAAACCAAAAATCGATGACAAACCGCTGATTGTTTTTCTGTTATGAAAAAGCTTCTCATAAACACCCAACAGCGCACCTTAAACACCTACTTAATTAATTAGATAATGATAATAATCTATCATAAAATAATCCTTTAGAAGCGGCTTATTGCTATACCGAATTTCAATTTCAGAGTACTTACAATATTTAATTCATTCTCCTAGAAACGGAGCTGACATATTCCCAAATATTATATAATATGTTTTTTTAATGATATGACATTTTTATAAATATATATATATATATAAGCATTAGTATAAATATAATATGACGCCACTTCGTAACTTCATGGATACGATTAAAGCAACTCATACTTCTCATATTGAGTGAGTGGGCGACGTAGAGCTTCATGCCCCAGAGTCAAACATACTGGACTGTTTCTGTACACACCCTGTGCCTCTAGAACCGCATGCGGCGCACAACGCCAAGGATCCGCCGTATTCACTTGCCATTTAGACAAACGAGCACTTAACTCCTGGAATACGCTTTGATATTTAGATTTACCAAATAAATTGTAACGCTCCAAAGGATCCGCTTTAATGTCGTATAGCTCCCATTCCGGTCTTTCATAGTAGGATAACAGCGTCTTATACCATGGATATGATTGTTTGGCGATCGTTGCGTTTAAAAGTTGCTGAAAGGTGGGCGACGTGTATAGATCTTGATCGATGGGGAAGTATGACCAAAAGTTTAAATTGTGTATTAATTTATAACGGCGCGTGCGTATCATACGCATTGGATAGGTCATTGTGACCTCATGGAAATTTTGACTACCAAACACTGCATCACTTTCAACCGGTTGCGGTTCTTTGTAAAGAATTGGCAATAACGATTTCGTAACATCATCTTTGGTTGTATTTGCAGTGGGTGTGTAATAGTGAAACACATCTAGAACGGTATTGAAAACATCCAACAGACTAGACATAGCGCCGGTGGTCTCATGACGACGCGCCTGGCTAGTTGGTGCAGCAATAATCATTGGTTCACGCACGCCATGCTCGTATAAATTTGTACGTCCGCCCGGAAATGGTGGTCCATTATCGGATGTGTAAATAACTAAAGTATTTGCGTCAAATCCATGCGCTGCAAGCTCTTTCAGTACAACACCCACACCTTGATCCAAGCGCGATGTGGTCATATACTGAGCGGCCAACTCCTGACGCACCACATCCGTGTCCGGCAAATGCGGCGGCACTTCCAAATTACGCCAATCGTAATAAATCGGTTTCCAATCGGGTATAATGCCCATACCCTCTTCACCGGAACCCCAACGCTCACAAAATTCACCATATTGCGGCGTTATATGCCCACAACGATGTGGATCGTGAAAGCCGACAAGCAAGAAGAACGGACGCGCCTCCACGCTTGCCTTGGCAAAGAATTCACGCGCGTAATGTCTAATTCTCGTTATATTGCGTCCAATTTGATTGATTGAATGTTGTTCTTCGGTTTGCTCAAAGTCAAATTGGAAATTAGAGCTAGCGCCAACATGCTTCTTACCAATGATGCCGCTTAGAATGCGTCCCTGGGACTTTTCGCGCAACACATTCGGCAGCGATGTGGTGCCAGGTAGCACATTGAAGTTATGCACGCCCTGGTGCAGACCATACATGCCATTGCTATGACTCGCCTGACCGGTTAAGAGTTGTGCGCGGCTAGGCGAACAGCTGCTCACCGAGGTGAAGGCATTATTGAATAGCAAACCGCGCTTGGCCAATGTGTCCAGATTGGGTGTCTGACAGAACTTGTTGAGGTAAGCGCCCGACTCGAAGCCCGCGTCATCTGCTAACAGTATTAAGACATTCCTCATTTCATCATTCGCCGTTGCGCTTACACTTAGCACCAGACACGAGGCGTTGATAAGCGCCAGCAGTGTGATTACACGCTGAGTGGTCAACGACATTTTTTATACGTAATCGCGTGGCTGTTTTGTTTGTTTTCGTTGATTATCTTTTTTGAAGAGTAAATATAATTGATTCTAATTCTAGTTTTGTAAGTGAAAATTTCAACAGTTTTGTAAACTTCAATTATAAATTAAATAACAACAACTAACATATTATAGAGCAACACTCGCCATCTGCAACAAGAGTCACCGGCGTACTAACTCAAGTCCACTTATCCAGCTATGATTTAAAGCTTAGATTCATACATTCACACATACATACATGTGTGCATAAGTACTTGCTTGCATGACAGTGCAGAGGGGTCACGTTGCTTATCCCGTTTGCTCTACTATTCATATCTGGAGTTAATCTCCAGCTGGGCCAGTTAAACGAAATGGAATTACAATGCGAAGCTGTGCTCAATGAAAAGCGCTTTTGAGAAAGAGAATGTATTACAGTGGGACGAGTATCATAAATTATTAGTGAAATATGTTTTTTTTTTCTTTTCAAAACAATATTACACTTTATTGAAATTATTTTATAATAAAAATAAATATATTTTTTTATTACAGGTTACTTACTTTTTTTTAAACATTCAGATGGAAACGTCAGAGATTGGATAAAGTTTGTGTATAAACTATTTTAAGTATCGTTGCCTTGTTCAGGTAGCATATAGCTGTTATAAAAACTCAACGATCAAAGTTAAGTTCTTGTATGGCCAATTTTTTTTATTCGACGAGATATTTTCACAAACGTTGGTATCTAAGGCAACAATTAGAATCAAATTCTTGTATTAAAACTTTTGTATTTATAAATGATATTATAGTTTCGGTACAATCGTGCTAAAGGTTTTCTTTTTTTTTTTCTTCTTTAGTTTTCTTTAAACCAAACAAAAATTAAATAAAAGCCTACACTCACCATAATAAAATTTCAAAAGCATGTTACATTTAACATGTATTTGTGGTGGGTGACCCTTTATAGGAGAAAAACTTGGTAACAGTTTATGCTGTAATTGAAATATTCTATAACGAATGGCATAATGTATTTTTAGAGTTGAGAAATGTTATTTAAACGTTTTTCTACAACATATTTTTTAGCAGAAATTCAAATCCACCACACCAAATTGATGAAATATTTTTTTTCTCTAATGACCCACTGTTTTATTACAAAGCGTTTGCTGACTAATTTTTGTCGATTGTGCGTTTCAATTTAAAAGTTGTAGGTTGCTTTCACGCAAAGAAGGCAGAAAGTCAAAAACAGAAACAAAAGATACAACATAATATACAACACATTATCTTCAGGTCAATAAAATTGAAAATTAACCCTTCACTGCATGAAAATTTAGAAAAGCAAAACAAATACTTATTGTTATATAAGATAATAGGTTATATTTATAACCGTTATATAATGTATAATAAGTAAATATATATTTTTTTACTGAATTTTGATCAATTAAATCACTGGAACTAATACTACAAAATGTATTGTCAATGTGTAATGTTAATAAGTAAATATGTATTTGTAAATATAATATAGAAGATATGTGTATATAAGATGTTAAAAGTATTTTATCACTTAAGTAATAATCTGATTAGAAA